TATACACATTTAGTTTAAATAAATATTAATGTATACATTTATATTAACACATAAATGTATATTTAATATAAGCATTTAATTTAAATAATTTTATATGAAAATGACTTGTAAAGTAACTTCTATGAAAATTAAAAGTTTAATGATACTAAATTGATTTCTATCTTTTCAAATTTTTTGAGTTGCTGTTAGTCTAATATTTTTATTTTGGATGGTCACTAATTGGGTCAATTACATATATGTTAAATGAAATTATTCTTGATCTGAAACATCCTGCATATTTGGAATGCTTGAATTGTACTGGTTTTTTATGTCTAGCCACTGTAGGTTTTATTCTATTTTTTTTTTTTTTTGGTTGTTTTGAGACAGAGTCTCACTACATAGTTGAGACTGACCTGGAACTCACTATGTAGTCCAGGCTGGTCTTGAACTTACAGCGATGCTCCTGCCTCAGCCTCCTGAGTGCTGGGATTACAGGCTTGTGCCACCACGCCCAGTTTTCTATTTTTTGATTGTATGATTAGATGCAAGTACAAATGTATTTTATTTTTAAGCCCAAAGATCTCTCCAAGTATTTCTATTTCAAGCCTTAGAAATCCTATCCAGTCAGATTTTATCTTTAGAAACGAAAATGAAATGTATTTCCAGTATGTTAACTAGGATGATTTTCCAAATAGAAGGCATATTTTCAGTTGAATATTGGAGAGTAAGAGTGACTTTGGTTGCAGAATGAGCTAAGCCAAATTGATTGGAAGTTAACATCTTGCCTCATTTGACTTCTTCTGAAGTCCGGACGGTTATATGAAAACTTCTCTCAAAGCCTTCATTTCAAGTGTGAATTAGGGCTTTGGCAGCTACCTGGAAGGACATTGTTAAGAACTTTAAAGGACATATAGTACATAGAGAATCTGACACACAGATAATTCAATAAACGTTCCTTCTTTTAACAAATAAGTGAGGCCCTATTAGAGTGACAGTTTTCTAGTTTATAGAGATGTATTGGAAGAGCAAAGATGAATACTGTATGGTCTTTCACTTCAAAATGTGTGTGTGTGTGTGTGTGTGTGTGTGTGTGTGTGTGTTGCAAATAAATTAGCAAATGAGCAGGGAAGTACCACATAATAAATGTGCTACAAAAAACTGAAATGGACTGATATGTGTTGGATATCAGTGAGCAGTCATAATGGGATTATAAAGACGGATCTCTGAGAATTCCTGAGGGAGAATGTCAGAAGCCTTAATACTTGACATCTATGGAGGAAAGTTGAATAGTCTGAGCCAAACTTTTCATAGTAGTATTATTTATGTTCACAGCACTCAACATAGTAATACAGTAATACCTTGGTTCACAAATGCTTCTTCAGTTCATGAACAATTTGGTTTACAAACACAAGCACTTGGCAGAATTTTGCTTCCATTCACAAACTCTGCATGGAGTGATGAACATGATTGTGGCCATCTTCCCCAGAATGTGGAATGAATTAAGTTCATCAGCCAAGGTACCACTGTATGTATATATATATTTATATACAAATATAAATGTATATAAGCTCAAACTTTCCATTACTTGAACAGCAACGTTGGAAAAAAAATCTGCTTCAGGTTCCAAAATTTGCTCATAGTTCAACCAAAAGTCTGACTTGAAACAAACCTGCTACAGGGTCAGAGAGTGAGTCACACGTCACATCTTACTGAGGACACAAAGGGGCAAGGCCTCAGTCTAAGCACCACTCTTGCCTAGACAACTTATACTGCTGTGTTCATGCATTAAAGCATTCATCATTGTGCTTTTTTTTTTTTTGCACTTTGTGTAAAACAAGGTGCCAAAGAAAGTTAGTGATGCCAGCAGTAAAGCTAAGAGGAAAACTGTGAGAACCACAATAAGAGTTAAATCATTGTGAAATTTATTAAAGTCCTACAAAAATAAATTTATACATGTATTTTTTGGGCCTCCCAATCAGTTATTTGGTTTTCCATTATTTTTTCTGGGAAAAATTTGTTTAGTTCTTGAAATTTTCCATGTTTGAACATGAATGTGAAAGAAATTGAGTTAGACAATCCAGCTATCACTCTTATATACACATACATGCATATAAAGATATTTTTAAAAGAATGAATGAATAGTATTTGCATTGATAATTGGGTCTTTGATGGGATAATATTATGGGTTATATCTTGTCAAAAGTATATGGATGTGGGCATGGCAGTGCATGCCTGTAAACCCCACCACTTGAGAGACTGAGACAGAAAGATTGCTGCAAATTTGAAGCCCAGTTGGACTACGTAGTAAGTTCAAGACTAGCCTGGACTATATAGGGAGACCCCTATCTTAAAAAGTAAAACTGAACCCCAAAACACACACACACACAAACACACACACACACACACACACACACACACACACACACATGCGCTCGCGCGCGCGCAAGATAAATGAATGTTTTAAACCCCAGTACCTCAGAATGTGAGGAAATAAGATTGTTGCAGGTGATGTAATTAGTTAAGATGAGGTCCTACTGGGGAAGAATTGGCTCCTAACCTGGCTGGTGTCCTTATGAAATGATGGCCACCATGGGAAGAATGCCATGTGAAGATGAGATTGGGGTAGTTTATCAGCAACTCAGGGATTGTCAAGCATTGCTTGCCAAACCATCAGAAGCTGGGAAGAAGCAAGGAAGCTTTCCCTATAGGTTTCATAGGGAGCGTGGTAACATATTTTCTTTAAAAAACACTTTTTGCTTTGAAATAAATGTAGATTCACAGAAAGTTGCAAGTCACACAAAGAGGTTCTTCTGTGAAGGAACTTTCTACCAGTTTTCTGCAGTGTACCATCTTGCAAAACCTTGTACAATGCAAAGCCCTCAGTCACATTTCATCAGTTACAGTACATACTTTTCTGAGTAGCAAAGCAGAAAGATACTTCCTGATCGGATGAGGAGTGTTTTACAGTGAGGGTTTATCAGAAGACTCTCCAGTTAATCCAGCGTTCAGCCATAAACATGGCAGCTGCATTCTGTCTGATTACTTTTTTCCTGCTCCATTTCCAAAAGGAGACCTTTTTTTGGTGTCTCTTAGTTGGGCTTCCCAAGAATGAAATCTGGTTGCACTAGGTTTCCTTCTCTTTCTAGGCTACAGCTATTATATACAGCCTGTGGATGTGTTAATTGGGATGATAGTGCTCTTGCCACATGGGCTATTGTGGATTGTTGTTTTCCTTTGGCTCATTCAACTCAGGTGTATGGGTGGAGTGTGAACTGTGAACAAGGTTTGTGTGGAGTAAATAAACCAAGGCAAGTCAAATACAGTAATAATTTCTGTGTTGTGCCATAAGTTGAATGGTTATGGTAGGCCAGGCCCCTCTTGGATTACTCCTTCCTTAATGAATTGTTAGCTATACCTTTTTAATTCACCTCACT